ACCCCCAAAAAACCAGCCCCTGACCCACGGCAGGCCAGAAAGCCCCTTTGCACTGCCTCCCTGGGCGGGGTTGGGTCTGGGTTTTGCACTGAAAAAAAAAAAAAAAAGTAAAAAGCAGCCCCTGAGCCACGGCATGCCAGAAAGCCCCTTTGCACTGCACTCCTGGGCTGGGCTGAGTCTGGGCTTTGCACTGAAAAAAAAAAAAAAAGTAAAAAGCAGCCCCTGAGCCACAGCGCAAAGGGGCTTTTTGGTGCACCGCGCCTCAGGGGCTGCTTTTTACTTTTCTGTGTTGTGGTGCAAACACAACAGTCAAGGAACACCAGCTGCCAAGACAACCAGAGGGAGCGAGCGAGGTCTTTTATGGGATGGGGTTTTAATGGTCCTGGAGGGGAAGTGCTGGATTCAATTAAAAGCACCAAAGATTCATGGAAGCCTGGGGGTGTCTCAAGTTCAAGCAGTGTCCCATTGAGGAAAGACCTGGGAGGGTGGCAGCTTCATCGGGTCAAGGGAAGCCTAATTTGTTCAGGAAATGCCAGGGCACTCGCCCCTTTCCCTCTGTCAGGACCAAGGGGGTTTCTGCATCAGACACCTCTTGCAGAAAGTTCCAAATGGCAAACTTGCCAGGCTGGTTCTTAAAGGGTTTTTGTTGCACCTTCAGAACAAGTGAATGACTGCACATGCCAGGAATATTAAGGACCTTTTCACTCGTGACACGCCGCCAGACAATTATGACCCTAGTTCTCTCTTTCTCTGGTTCTCGTGTGTGAATGGTGTTCATGATGCAGGAAGACCAAAGAAGAAGGATGGCAAAACAGGATGTACTTTAGACTTCTCTGAAGCCAAACTCATCCAGCTAAAAAATAATGAAGCCTCTTTCGAGCTGAGCTAGACTCCTGAAGACATCAACAGTCCCTGCAGGTTGCTTGGCAAGAAGTGTTTGCCTTGCCTTCTTCCAGAATATTTCTTTGACTTCCCATTTTAGCTTACAGTCCTGGGACTTCCTGGTGCTCCCCTGTCAACATGCCAACCAGCCCCGTCCTGCTTTGGATTTCAGAGTATGGGGGTGGCAAGCCCCCCTGGATTGTAAATAAGCTTTCCATACAGATTTCAAGCTAAAATCACCTTTTCCCCAAGGAAAGTTAACTGTTCCTGAGGATAAAAGATCATGGGGAGATGCATACATGAAGATACCGCCACCACAATTCCTCTGGGGTTCTGGTACAAGCTCACAGTCTCAATTTTGCAAACCGTCTAAAACGCTATTACACAGACATTTTTGACTCATTCATTTCTTAGAAACACTATTTCTTGGAAATACTGACAAGGCACGTTCTTTCATAACAGAGAGCTACACATAGGATGCAGACTTGCACAAGCCATGTTTCCAGGTAATTACATTTAGGACACTGAATGACTGAGGCCCCAAATCCAAACCTCCAGACTAACTGGGTTAGGAGGATTGAATAATTTTGTGTTTTAAAAGAAAAAATCTGGAACCCTGAGTCTCAACAGCATGAAAGCTATTCAACCTTACTTTCAATCAGAGATATTTTCCTCGTCGGATTTTTGCATTTTTTCTCTGCCCATCCAAGCCTGTGCCAACCCCTATTTCAAATGGGGCTTTGCACGCCCCAGTTCGGGCTGCTTTTTACTTTTTTTTTTTTGCAGCATGAAGTCCTGCCCCAGCACAGCCCAGGAGCATGGCACAAAGGGGCTTTTTGGCGTGCTATGGCTCTGGGGCTGCTTTTTGCTTTTTTGGGGAGGGCGTGAAGCCCAGCCCAGCCCAGCAGCCAGGCCAGGTGTACCTTGTCAGCAGCGGAAGCAAGAAGACAGCGAAGGTCAGCTAGGGCGGTGGAGCATAGGGCAGCAGGGGTCTTGGAGTGCAGGGTGGCAAGAACGACTGTGGCTGGGACTGGGCTGGGGCAGCTGCAGCTTCCCAGGGCGCGGCAAGCTGCATGATTCTGGGGCTGCTTGCTGCCCCACAAGGCAGGGTGCAGGGCAGCCAAAAGGGCAGAGATGGGGGGGAGATAGGCGGGTGGGGGGTGTTGGAGGCAGTCTCTTATCTTACGGAGGCTCAGGGTTGGGAGGAACCAAGCCCAGAATGGCTTGGATTGGGGTGGGTACTCGCTTAACGACCTGCAATTCTCGGTTAACAGTGGCAACTGGGACTGCCGGGATTGCTGTCGCTAAGCGATGCTGTCACGTGACATCTTGCTTTACTACTGCATCTCTTAGTGACGGAAATTCTGATCCCAATTGTGGTCAGAAGTTGAGAACTACCTTTATCTAAAAATATAAATATATGTATTCCTAAATGTGTAAGTACATTGCGCATGCCAATTCATCTAAAATCAAAAGTATACAGAACAATGGTCTGCCCAGTAGCACTGTATGGTGTTGAGTGCTGACCAACCACCAATATTGTTGAGCACCCTTTACATGCTATGGAGATGCGCATGCTCGATTGGTCACTAAGCATTTCCCTTCTCAACTGCGTCAGCAATGATACAGTCCAGCAGCAGATGGGCATTGCACCAATAGCAGAGAAGATGCAGGAAAAACACCTATAGTGGTATGGCCACATTCTACGAGCAGCACCCCACACTATTCCCTGTACTGCTACTACTTTAACACTGATGGCAAACGCCCATGCAGAAGGCCAAAGCAAAGGTGGCAGTATACAATTAATGCAGACATGCAAATTATATAGTTGGAGTCAGTTGCTGCATTTGATTGTGTGAATTGGCATTTGTTAATCTGAAAAGTGGACCTTGCCCTGTGGGAAAATGCTAGGATGAAGAAGAAGATGATTGCATTTACTTCCTAGTTGTAGTATGTAGGCAACAATATGTTCACCTGCAAGGTAGTCTCTAAGTTAGAATTCTTAGCTTGTCTTGGATATCATGAGCATGCTTGAGGTGAAATTGGTGTTTGATTGTGTCCATACGTGAAATGCTGCTATGACCGGTAATCTAGACTGTTCTTCCCTTCTCTTAAAAAGGATTATGTGTCAGCTTTACTTAACCAAAGCCATATTAGGTAGCTGAGGTCAATATTTTGGAGGCTATCTAGTGGTAACCATATGGAAGACTGGACTTGGAATATAATAAGAGTAAGGACTATGAAGGAATACACTAAGGTGGTTTGGTTGTGTAAAGAGAATGAGTGAGGATCAAATTGTACAACAAGCATATGAGGAATGAGTAGAGGGGTTGAGAAGAAGATTGAGAACATTGTGGCTGAATGATATCTTCAAAGTGAGGGGTAAGAACAAAAGACAGTTTTGGTGGATGTGGTATGGATAGAAGTAGTCAGTATGAAAATAGTGGAAGCTAGAATGGTTGCAAGGATAGAAGATGGAAAGATAATGTGAGTAACTAGATATAGCTATTTTTTTTCTGTTATCTCCTATATTTAATGTCCTTGTTTAGTCTGTGTTACTCCTTTTTTGTACTATGCACAGTATACCTTAATCAAAAATGAATAACATGGTATGTATGAATATAAATACGAATATTTGAAGCAAAAAAAAAGCAGTTTAATAAGACCATACCTCAGATCAATACCAACAGATTAGCCAGCATAGTATTCCATAACATTGCATATCTTTTTCAGATTAGTAATGAGCTTCTTTGGATTAGTAAATTGAATTTATTGAAACAAAAATGAACGAGAGGAAATAAGCTTCTGGGATGTAGCTGATTGGCTACATCTAACTTCAGTAAAATTTCCAGTTCGTAAGTGATGTGTTTCCCCATTCACAATGTCTAGTTTCCAAGAGAAATAACTTGAATAAGATTTTTAGATTTTTTTCCCCAAAGATGGCATCCAAATCTTCTTCCTTTAATATTTTATGTCATATTGTAGAGATCTGCTAAGAAATGGTACATCTTTAAATTCTATAAGATTTCTGAACATTCTGTACATTGTGTCTCTGTCTGATAGACATGTGGCTCATCTGATATTCATGCTTATGTAGGTATGACTTTCAGACTAGTTCTGACATTTCCACTCCCAGTAGCTTTAAAATTTATCTTAATACTTTTCCAGGTTTTTATTAAATGAAGTGTTTTGAGTTATTGAAAGTTTATTATCCAGTCAATATTTATCTTTTAGAAAAATGACCAAAAGTAATTTTTCAAAAGAAGAAAAATTACAACAGTAAGGGATTCCTAACATTGCCTTCTTTACAATATCAAAAGTAAAGCAGGAGACACTCTTTCTCCATATGCTTGCAATGTGAGATGGCCGGTAAAAAATATCTGAAGGAAAGGGGAAAGCACTTTTGTGTTCACTAACACATGTTTTGCCTGCACACATACACACCCAAATACAGAGAGAGGCCCCTTATTTGACTAGAAGGTGCTGTTCCATTTTCCAGATACAGGGACAGGTTCCCAAGTAAAATATTAGATCTGAAAGACATTTGATGTAAAAAATATGCTTTTGAAATATAAAAATATCACTTTTGTTTCAGAATGTTGAATGTTTTGCATATTTTTTTAGAATTCTGACTTATTAAATATTAACATGTACAGTACTAGACCACATCTGAATTCTCTCCTTGCTACAGTGGTGGTTCTGTTTATAATTTGTATGCTGATGATGATGAAGATACAGAAATATCTCCTTCCGGGCAACAGATTATTGAGAACTCCATTACAATGAATAAAATGAAGCTGCTCAAGGCAAAGATGGAAAACATGAATCTTAATAAAAAGGTGAAGCCATAAAATATAAAATCGTCACTGGATGTTAGTGAAGAAAAATTAAAAACCTCTAAATAATTCGTTCAATAGCAGATATTACTTCAGTGCGCAGTATAATATCCAAAATAAATTATTTATATAAGCTGTGCACAATCCATGTGTCACATTTTACCAATATAATGTAATTTTGCTAAGAAAACTGCATGAATGCATCATGAAGTCACCAGGTTATCATTTGTTAGCCTAAAGAATATTAAATATTGTGAAATTTTCATCATTCCAATCCAGAGTTTTTCCAACTGTTCTATAGAACTATATGAACAAATACTTTGTAAGAACAAGTACTTTGTGAGAGACTAAGGGCAAAAAAAAAAAAGTGCACTTGATGTCAGCCCATTTTCTATCACTTTGCCTTTTGATCCATGATTTTTTTACTTAATAGATTCAACAGCCTGAGGAAGTTTGAAAAATCCTGTTCTAATTGGATAGAAATTACTGATTAGACTTACTGTTGAAAGGAAAGCAGTGTTGTTATTTTTTGCATCTAGATATTTAATAATAATAATAATAATAATAATAATAATAATGTATTATGAAGTCCCTCAAAATGAAATACAAAAGAGGGTTAATAGTTCTATGCAGCCTTAAAAATTTGATGAATAAATACATTAATACTTGGGGTTCTGTAATTGTGCTATAGTTAAAACTAACCACTTTTCACTTTTTTCCACAGCCTAAGATGAAAGTGAACCCCCATTCTCCAGTGGTTCTTCATCCATCCAGTGGCTCACTTACAGCTGCTCGTCATAATTTTCTACGAGCACTTCCTCATATTGGGCAGTCCTGTCTGCCTTCTGAAAATTCACATACCTCAGGAATATCTCAGAATGCTTTTTCAGCCTTAGCAAATACTGGTAAAAAAAAGTCATCCATCACTAGTGACTTTCTTAATGAAAATGACAAGTGGGAGAGTATTTCACCATCTCAGTCAATTAACAGCATGACATTGCCTTCAAAAGTATCATGTGTGGAAAAGGAAGAGGCAAAACTATCTGAAAACAATGTAGTTCCTCAACTCGCAGCTCCACTGGTAAATTTGGAAAAAAATGCAGAAAATGGTGCATCATCTGATGAAAGATGTCCTTTCTTATATCCAGATCTCACAAATGTAAATCTGTATACTACAGAAAAAAATGTTCTACCAAACAAAGAGGCTTTTGCCTTGGTATCAGAAGCAAATTGCAGTGACTCATACAGCAAAATATCTGGAATAGAAGAAGGGAATACTGAGCTTCAGTTATCTCAGGAGCATCAGAACAAATCCATCACAAAAACTCTGACTTTTACAACAGCAGATAATAGTATTTTTAACTCTCATGACTTAAGTCTTAAGAAAACACGTCTGTCACCTCTTCATTGTTCAGCACAGATGGTGCATTACAGTCCTCAGAAATCTCAGACTCGTTCCAAATATTTTGAAGAAACTAGCTTGAGGCCTACTGCTTCTCCAAACATTCTACGGTCATTGGAGGTGCACAGTTTAACAGATTCCTCTTATTCAAGAACTTCTAGATTTCATGGCATTGGTTTAGATTCGCCTAGCAAAAGATCTGATATCCATTCTAAAGTGGAGGCAAGGGATATCACAGAAGTAGCAATTAAGGCTTCCAAAGACCCTATTGTTTCTGTAAATAATATAGGATTGCTAAGTTCATTGACCCGAAGCACAAATAGAGATGGCTTACAGAATTCCTGTAGCACAAGCAGGTTTCGGACTTCTGGTATTGCACTAACTACCAACTTTCAGCATTTTCAAGAAGAAAGTTTTAGAATGGCTTCTCCTCCCAATGACACGCCTGGATACTTTTTAGTAAGTACTCATGCTTTATTAAAAAAAAAAGAGATGTGTATTTTACTTGTTGTAGGTTTGACTCTATGTTTATTGATCAAGAATCAAAATTGGATATTTGTCACATTGAAAAAGTTCAATTTATATCAGTATTCTTTAAATAAGCTTGAATTTTGGCTTTCAGAATGTAAGAGATGCCATTCAGTAAATGTTCTATTCCTAGATGTGCCTGTTCTCTCTGAAGCAGGTTTAGTCATGGTTTATTTTTATCGGCAGAAGGATTTGTAAATTATGCCTGGTTTTCTAGTGACTAGTTTACTGTGGAGTTACTATATAAATATTCTTTCCCATAGAAGAATGGTAATACATTTCCAAAATGATTGAGACAGCCAGTTTCAGTGTTTTTGTATTAAAACAGTCTGTCTGTATTCAAAATGGTTTACATTCAAATGTTTTGCACATACTCATTAACTTTGATTGAGTTTTATATTTTAAAAAGTTGATAACATGCTCTGTATATTTATCCTATATTTAACCAATGTGTATGTTCTGAACAGCATGAGTCACTCGTGGTTTCTCAGACATGTTTCACTGAGATTGAAATATTGAATATTTACTCCCAAATTATGAATAAGATAAACAGACATTCTTCAGATGTCATTTAGTAACAATTTCCAGATAATGCTGTCTCACACCTTGAGTGGGAGGATAAAGAGAAACAAAAGCATGAATCTGTTTTTTCTTCATATATAAATTGACATTAGAATTTTATGGAAGCATCCTTTCACAGAACCTGTTCATATGTTTTCTCTTCATGTGATTAGTGATCACATGCAAGACAGTAGAGTTTTATCCTCTGGCCTTCAGTCCACATTGGCACAAAGTCTGTAAAGCAGCTGCAAAATTCAAATGTGAGAAGAAGGATCCAGTAAGGTTGTGAGAAAGGTGGCAGTCTCCTGCCCCACTTTCCCCCAAGAATGCAAAAGACAAAAAGGAAAATGAGTTTTCTAAAAATAGTTAGAGCTATTTTTAAGAGACAGTAAAGCAGAAAAACTTTCTCATGCATCAACACAGAAAAATAAATGTACGTAGTCTCTATGTCGAAAAATATGTCTGGAATGGGAGATAGAAATGGCTTCATCATTAAAAAGCAATTCAGATTGCTCAGAATTAGAAACCAATTGTACTAAGGATTACTCCACAATAAAACATCCAGATTGCCATTCAGGTAACTGCAAGAGATTATTCAGTTAAGTTCATATTACTGATGTTGCAGAGCAGTTTTAAAAAATTACAATGTAAGGCAACATTGCAGAAAGAAACACAATGCAGAAAATGCATGCCTGCATCGTTTCCTTCCCTTCTTTAGCACAGCCTTATCATGTCACAAGTGGTAACTGCCAGCATTGCCACTGATAAAAAGGATGGCATGGTGCATGTGGTTGTGGTGAGTAATGAGGAGAATATGTGAATTAGCGAAAGGTGAGGATCAGCAATGGCATGGAGAGGCTGCAGGTGCAGAGGCAAAAAAGAAGAGGAAAGTCCAGGAAAAAGTGATAGCTGGATGGGGAAGGGACAGAAGAGCCAGGGATAGTGTCAGCAGCCCACTTCAACCAGCAACAGCCACGGCAGTTAAGCCAGCAACACAAGGAGGAACTGCATCAATCCAGCAATGGAAGCGCCAGCCCAGTAGCAGAGAGGCAACAGCAAAGCAACCAAAGCCCAGCAGCCGCCAGAAGCACAAGTCAACAGGATCAGCTTCTGCAGCAGCAGTCCAGGCACTGCCAGGGGCAGCAATCTCTGACATTCCAGAAAGACCAGGGAAGCCTGGTAGGGGGCCCACTGGTACCAACAGGCAATCGGAGATTGTCCAGGGGCAGCAGTGGTCCCAGTCCAAAGGAAGGTTGACCGAAAGTTCCTGGGACCAGGATGGGGACTGAGAAGATTCTGTTCTTCTCATTTCCAAAGTTTGGACTGAATCAGCAAGGGATTGTGAAGGATGCTGGGAAGGGGAAGGTACCTAGAATAAATAACAATAGTGGATAGATGTGTTTATAGGAATAGGCCATAGAACTATCAGTACAAATTATTAATAGTTTAATGGTGGGTAGACATACGTTTAATGATGGCAGTACAGATTTATAGAAACAATTACACATTTATAAAGAAAAAATAATTTAGTATTTAAGTAGATAATAAAAACAGTGGCATAAATGATAGGTCTTCAGCAACTGATAAGACTGAAATTCAGAGGATGCCAAATGCACCTCAATTGGGGGTGGGGGGACTGTAAATGAGGGTAGCACAGTTCTTGTAACTGCTGGCAGGACATTGCCCATTGTCAGCATTGCAGGCAAGAGCTTGCAGCATTTTCAGAGACCAAGCAGGAAAGACGTATCGGGAGAGACATTGCAAGAGATACTTAGACCCCAATTTTCTGAAATCCTTGAAGAAGGTTCAGAAGCAAATAAACAGCAGCACAAGTGGTAGTGCAAGTGGAAAATGGACCCAGCGTTGCATGTTGCTTACTATGGAACGTTGACATTCTGCAGCTGATACTTGATTCTCAAGGGAAGTCCCATGAAGATCACATTATAATTTGGCTATTTATTAATGACATTTTATCCAATCACTTTATTTTTGTATTTTCCTGCTGTGTATATTTGGGGATAGAGTTTAGAACATTACAGTGCCATGAAAAATAGCTTTGTCCCTAACATTGTATGCACCATGTAGTCCCTTCTCTTAGCTGTCTATGCCTATAGCACGACATCTGTAAGAAGTACATATTCAATTTTACATGCAGAACTGTAACTCTGTGTTGTTAGTCTTTGGCTCACATGAAAACCTCTGCAGATAGAGCTCTTGGTGTAACACCACTGCCTAAAGATGTTCATATTTTATTGGCATATGTGATGGGAAAAGTTAATAAGTGCATGCAGTATTGGAGATAAAGGTACTTGTATCCTAAAAGTCTGGCAGCACACTGCATGTTCCTCCTGTTTGGTGGAATACAGGCAGCGTGCTAGCCTATAGTTTGGTGATCCTAGTTTGTAAAGAATACCATGAAGCATTCAGGGGTGTGAGCTGAGCTTTGGTTATGCTTGTGGCAGACTGACCAGAATATGCCCATGCTGACCAGTTTCATGACCTACTATTAGAAGGAAGTCAGACTACTAAAGATGATAATGAGTTGAGCTTTCCTCTTATTTGGCTTTAAAAATGGTTCACTCAGTCAGACACTCCAAGACACTCTCAGGGGTCCGCAAAATCAAAATTATTTGCCAGCCTATGTTGAAAAATAATACATTTAAAAATGGTTCACTCAGTCAGACACTCCAAGACACTCTCAGGGGTCCGCAAAATCAAAATTATTTGCCAGCCTATGTTGAAAAATAATACATTTAAAAATGGTTCACTCAGTCAGACACTCCAAGACACTCTCAGGGGTCCGCAAAATCAAAATTATTTGCCAGCCTATGTTGAAAAATAATACAATATTAAAATCCCATCAAACAATCATGAGAAGTGGTAGTAGCAGCAAATGCATCCATTTTAATTTTTAATATGGTAAATATTGATAAATATAACCCATACAAATAAAAGCTCTTTTGGGGTTCTCCATAATTTTTAAAAGTGGGAAGGAGTCTTAAGAGAAGAAACACTGCACTAGAAGTATCTTGGGAACCTCTTTATATGTTGATTTATGTCAGGCAGCCAATACAATAAGTGCATGTATAACGGACATAGAATGGCAAATTAATGCTGCCTCCTTACCCAAATACCATTTTTTTATCAGCTGTGCTCCTTTGTGAAAGCCAGCAAGCGAGCTATTTGAGACCCATAACAGTACCTAAATTTAGAAGAGAAGACTCTTTACTTTGGCTTGCTGTGATGCCTTACTTATTTCTGTCCTGGAAGGAAAATGTAAAAGAATCCCTTACAAGAATGGATTATGCCTTTGTAGGTCAAATACAGTGGAATCCTTAAGTCCTCTGCATATATATTGCACCTCTTTTAGTGGACTCTGCAGGACATACGGATCATTTCTATATTCAGCAATTGCTGGCTGGATGACTCCACATCTTTGTCAGTGACCAAATTCTGCTATGCTGCTTTCAAGATCAGAAGTCAAATTTTGATCCAGCAAGAGAAATACTCAGTTCCTGGATAAGAATTTTATTTTTATTCTTTTTATCTGGTTTTTCTAAGTATGTTCAATCTGTAAGATGCATTTCTTTTCTCTTTTTCTTTTGTATATTTGGTCTACAGCTGTAAATTGAATTAACAAACATTAGAGGGAATGGTGCATATGATATGCAGCTAAGGCCGTTTAGGTGAAAACCTTGATTGACCAGAACCGAGATAAATATCTGTGAGCCTGTCTGGTCATGAACATGGCAGATGGCATGAATGAAATGGCAGGGGGTGTGGAGGAACAAGGGAAGGCTGAATGAAGATGTTCTGATCTTGTGGAGTGACATAGAATTGTGGAATCTCATACGAATCCAGTGGGAAGGAAAAATGAGGGAGGCATCAACTTAGGAAACGGTGGAAAGTTTTCAAATGAGCTTAAGGTTAATAGGGCATATAAAGGAAATGGAAGACTGATACAATCACCAATGAAGCTTACCAGCAAGTTACTACTTGTGGATATCAAGTCATAAAGGCTGGAGTGCAGAAGGAGTTTAGGCTCGCAAGAGAAGCTAAAGTCAACAATGTTAGTAGTAAGAGGAAAAATAAGGAAGGGGTGGGGCCACTGTTTGGAAAAAAAGAGGATGGTAACAAGAGCTTCTCAACAACTACTTTGCTTCGGTCTTCTCTCCAAAGGGAAACTGTTCAAATGAACCTAAGGAGACCAATTAAGGAGGAAGTGGCAATCCAAGGTAAGTTGAGATTGTTAGGGAACATCTAAGAAACTCAAGACTTCAGTACCAGAACAATTACATCTGAGAATTTTTGAAGATTCATTTCTGAGATCTTTTCACATCTTTGAGAAATCATGGCAGTTGAGTATAGTG